TTTTTTTAAAAAAAAAAAAAAAAAAAAAAAAAAAAAAACACGTATACTGTACACAATATTGCAGAGCAACCACCATTATCGTTTGAATATAATAATAGTTTTTTTTGTTTTTGAAAAAAACACCTATTATTCGGCGTTTTATCACCGTCATAATTTGTTGTAATAATATTAAATGATCGTCTAAATAATTTGAATTCAATTTTTTTGTTTTTTTCGAAATCAATATAATACGATTTTTTCCTATTCTAGAAATTAAGTAAGTGTTATTACTATTATACCTTCAACTAGGGTATAGCACTTTAATCTTTGTAGTTGACCATGTAGTCTGTTGGCACGTAGCCTATTATTATTTTATATAATATATTCGCTCCAAGGTTCTTCTTTGGGTTTTCGCTATTATTTATTATTATTATTATTATTATTAAGTAGTATTCATCTCGTAGTCCATATGTTTGAATTCACTAGCATGCGATATTTTTGATAATTTTAATATTTTTTCACTAATTCGAAAACAAATAAAAAAATATTTACTGCTAAAATTGTATACACAAAATACTTAAAAAATATTACCGGAGGAAAAAACTTGTATTTATTTATGCTTCTCGAGATTTTGGCGTGTCAAAAATATACCATTATACCACGACAATTTTAGTGGGTGCAATGTATAATTTAGAATATTATTCATGGACTATAAGTGCATAAGTACAGATTCAAAATTGTCGGTGTAAAACGTTTTCCACTGCAATAATTACCGATTTTCAATGTGAAATTATTGATTTAGAACCGTATAATATTTTATTAATGGAAAACAAATTTATTCGATTACAATTAATCGTGTTGTCTTATTTAAATGTAAAAAATCTTTAGTTCTTGTATTTTTAATTGACATTTTAGGTCATACCCACCTAAAAGTATAAATCAAACAAAAAAAAAAAAAAACAACGACAATAATAAATGTCTCGTATAACTGTAGTTGACAAAACATCACAAGGAGACTTTAATGAGGAGAGAACCAAAGAAAAATGCCACTATAACAGATTTCATTGGGAGGAAAGTACCTAGAACCATTAGCATCATTAATTGACCCGAGTTAATTAAAGTTCTGAGGACTATATTCGATATACCGGATTTACGTAAAAACAAAAATCATAATAATTTTTAATATTACTAGGAGATTTTTTTTATAAGTACTAAAACTTATTACGTTTAAAAATTAATAAAATATTCGCACTGAACACACAGTCGAGATGTCTATACACGGATAGACATACACCTACTCCAAGAATATTTCATACACGATTTCAAAATGTTCTCAAGAAGTTTTCCTTGTTTTCTTCATTTTATTATGTGTTCAGCTACCCGCCTGTTTAGTATTTATGAATTTACACAATACAATAAATATACGCATACTTATGTATATAGCAGATAACAGTCAACTGCTTTGAGTGCTTTGACTAAACTCGACAAAGAAGTAACCTACAAGTGTAAACATCAACTCTAAGAATAGATTAAGATTTAATTCAGATATTTAAAAAAGAAAAAATTCAAACACCGCGAAGTAGGCACTTGAAAATATATAACAACATTATAATAGGTAGCCTAGTTATTTCGCATCACTCATTATTCTGACCCTGGAAAAAATTTATTTTACTGTGTTCTATACGTACGACCATCGTATATGTAAATATAAATAGCCGACAATGCCAACCTATATAATATTATGCACTCACTTATATACTCTCTTTGTCTCCATCACTCGAGGTTTTTTTTTTTTTTTATTATTATTATCAAATCTCCCACTCGACAATCGCCCCCGACAAAAATCGCAATAAACGATCGAAAAAATCATAAAGACACAAACATTTCCACTAATTCTCGGTTCCTGAATTCATTTCATATTAACGAATGAAAATAATTTTTAAAACCAACAAACTCTTAAACTATTTTACGTAAAATGTTTAAAAATCAACGTAAGTATACTACAATATTAAATAGACTGATTAATTCTTAGCGCGTGGATCAATAAACATCATTTTACAACTGTCGATCAAAACCTATAAAATAGCACAAAAAAAAAAAAAACACTCTTACTCTTACGTATAATTTGTCTTACTCTCGGTTAATACGGATTTTACACTAACAATGATCTATCGAGCCACGCGTAATATACTTGTGTATTAAATTATATAAATCATATTTTATGTGATTGAAGTATGGAAACTGCATCCTATAAATTTAAATAATATGATAAATTGTTCGTGATGTATGTATAGTTCCGTTCAAGTGTTTTACAACAAATTTTGAACTACTATAATTTATATTATATATGAAAAAAAAAAAAAAAAACATTGTTGAAAAAACGCCCATAATTTAAAATATTTCCGTATAGGTACTAAATAAAATACCGTAATAAACAATTCCAATAAATTATATATTTTAAACATTTCAAATCTCTAAAGGATCGTGAACGTTTTAAATTACGCGCGCAACAAAATAATCTATATAAGTCTTCATAAAAATGGACCAGCTATAAAGTCTGTAAATCACATTTATTGAGAATAATAATATTGTTCAATAAAATAAAAAAAAAAATCCATCGAGTGTCAAATTTACAATTCATCGAAGGGCTTTTTTTTTTATATCACCTAATATGAAATTATTACCATGGAAAAATGGACACAGAAATAAAAGAAAAAGACCCGATACTGCTAATGGATGTGCTATTGTTGGAGGTGGCAGGTTGAAAAGGTGGAATACACAGAGTTATTATGAGTTCATATCAGTACACAATGACGCCATGTACATGGGGAATCCGGGGCCGCAGCCCCCCTCCCCTGTGAGTTTTATAGAACGAAGCTCAGTTTTCCAAAGTTCTCAGAGCAATCCGTGACATATTTCAAACCCTGACACCTATTTTGTACGCAATGATAAATCATTGCGAACGAAATACAATTCTGAACGAAATTCACTTACATGAAATGCTTTACGTTTTACGATTAGAGTCAAAATTTTAACTAAAACTATTATTCAATATTACTCGTTTGTTTACCACTAAGTTCAGTTTACAATGAACCTGCAATTCAATTTTAAAGCATTTTTTCGGGGTCAAAAAAAAAATTATCCGCATACAACCTAATAGAAATTTAACAACTCAAAAATTTCAAATGAGTCTAATCAATTTAGAACTCGTTAAAATGTTTTGAAAATTTGACCACGCCTAGAAAATGTCTAACATAAGTAATCAATGGAATTTTCAAGTTTATGCGATTTTTTTTAACCAAATTACAAAACAAAATAGAAATAAATGAAACCGTAAACGCGAAATGGAAAATATTTAAAACAACGAAACATTTACCGAGTAAATTTGTCTATTTTATTTCCAATACGTTTTTTTTCAGAACTATTGTGAAAACTATGAGAAAAATCGAAAAAATGACTCGACCGATGACCCAACTAGATCTAAAATGATGAAAAAAAAAAAAAAAACTCTTTAGTCGTTTTTTGATTGGCGCAATATTTTTAGTGGACGATTTCTTCGCGGACACGAAAAATCGTCATTATAACGTTACTAAAACGCATTGTTGTAAAATTATAACAATATTGCGTTAATATCGTTTAATATGTTTATAACATTTTATAAAAAAAAAAAGAAAAAAAAAAAAGAACAATATTATTTATTATTTATCTAACATTTTATAAAGATAGATATTTATTATTTATCTAACATTTTATAAAGATAGATAAATAATAAATAATATTGTTCTTTTTTTTTTCTTTTTTTTTTTAATTCGTGATGGGGGTTATTCATTAATAACTTTTATCGCGAACAATAATAACATTTTATTATTATACAAACGAATACAATATTCCAAACTTGATATATTACTATTTATATAATCTCTCCGCGCCACACGTGTACAAATCAGAGTATGTTCTGTGTAGACGCGGTACAAGTTGTTGCGATATTTTAAAAATCCACTGCGGAAAACATCGAGAGTACGGTAACTTATTTCTCACGGTATAAGATACACGCGAGTACTGTTTACGAAAAATAATCGTAGAACAAAATATTATTGCGATGACGGTTAGATGTTAATTATAATATATACTAACGATGAGACGGAATCCCGTCAAACCCGTGACATTTGACCTCGGTATTGACCAATCGGCTTCGCTGTTCAAATTAATTATTTCCAAACAGATAAATATATATATGTAGGTAGGTATATAATGCAATTTGTTTGCCGACACAATATACAGACGGGTCGTAGATTCCGGCGGTTAATAAGCAATTTGCCGCCCCCTCGTCAAGACCTATACTATTTTTCTATTGTTTTTTTGTCGGATTTCCGCCGAAAATAGAATCTACTCTGCGTAATCGTGTCTGTTATGTAAATTATTATTCTGTGTGTGTATATATATATATTTATTTTTATAAAAATATATCTTTTACCCGGTTCGTTTGACACTTTGAGCGGCTCCTCTGGACGAAAAATGTCCAAGCTCGGAAATTAATTCTTCTTTTTAAGAGCGGATTAAAGTGGTAACATTTTGGATTGGATTTCAATACGAATTTTACCGTGTTGTTGCGTGAAGAGGGTGTTTTTTTTTTTTTTAGCTTTAGACACCCCTACAAACCCTCCGAAAATGAACCCAATGGGATACAATAATTGTGTATATGTATACGCGCGGTGAAAATATGCACATTTTGGTTGTTTGAACTTTCAGCCCTCAACCCCACAGTCTGTATGTTAGCGAAAATGTGGACAACTACTTTAAATATTTTGATAAAACTTTTTTCGTTAAATTCCTGAACATTAGAAAGAAAAAATAACAAAACACGAAATATTATAACGGCAAATGAACCGGAGGGAAATTTTATACTATACACTGACGGAGCCCTGCTGCTATCATGTGTCCCAAAGAAATATGTTATCAATTCAGTTATTAATTATTATTTTAAAATACACACAAATGGCAGCATAAATCGTGGCTAACGGTACACACATATAATAATTAATAAGCAAGGGACAACGGAAGTCGCATGTTAAATTACGACTTATTAATTATTTCGGTTTAAAACATGTTAAATTGGGAAATATTTCAATTGTACGAAGTACATCGTTTATGTGAATCATTATTATTCGCTATAGAAATTGTTGGAACGGTTCAAACTCGTATAGTTGGCCGGGCGATTTTTGCGGTAATTTTATGTATCTGCGCGGTGTACAATGTTTTGTATGTTCGCTCAGAAATCATTTTTCAGCAATATTTTACATATTAAAAAACGAATAAGTCATTGTATATAGCTCTCAAATGTCGCGGGTGATGTTAAATACCGTTTTAGGAAAAAGTTAGTGGTGCCTACACGAAAAAAAAAAATCGGTATACAAGATATCGGCAAAAAAAACTCTCCGAGAATGCTGCTGATTGCAGTGGCGTAGCGATAGAGCGGCATGACGGGCGACGAGCCACGGGCCCATGACATTAAAGAGCCCCGAATCAGGCTTCAAGGCATTATTGGACAATAAGTGACTTCCTTTTACGAATGATCTTTATTTTTTCACCGGTCTTTATACAATATTTTGCCACGAGCATTAGAAGTTCTAATTACTCCACTTCAGACTGATTGTCGCGAAAAATTAATAATAACAATTAAAATATACGAGCGGTGTATATTTGACGACAAAGGTCCTACGATTTCGTCGGTCCAACCGTGTAAACCCGACGCTGTTAACACATATTGTGTACAATTTTCAAAACAATAATAATAACCCAAATTGATCGAAACGATACCTCCTATACGTATTGTTTTCTACGTACAGGATTAAAAAAATAAACGATAATAACAATAAAAAATTACGAATTCTCGTCACGTTTAACGGATTATAATGATAATGTCAATACTGTAATACATAACAATATGTATGAAGCGTACTCTTAGGCGCCCGTATATAGAGGGTAGGACAAGACGGGCGCTAGTTCGCTCCCCTGGCTTTTAATACGGCGATAAATTTGTCGTGTTTAAAAAATGTCTGTTTTTTTTTTTATTATTATTTTATCGGATTGTGTATCGCATAGATGTATAAATTATTGAATCTCGCACACACCTCCCCCCCACCCTCTAGAAAAACGTCTGTGGGCTCTAATGCGCGCGCCAGACACTGTATATCGAGTCGAAATGATCTATCGACAAAAAAATAAAAAAAAAACTCCGCGCGTACAGATAAAAACTAATACAATTCAATATGTGTGTGTATTCCGAAAAGTGCCGCGTTAGTGTATATAATATTATACACGCGTTACGTTATACGAAACCGTATTTTCTCGAAACAGTGAATTCGACTTATTAAAACACATTATACAATAATATTATCCTTATATGTAATAAATTATAAAAAAAAAAAATAAAAAAACGAACTGTTTTATTATAACGCGATATCGGTACGAAACGATACATTAAAACGATATTGTTGTCGTATTATTATTCAATAACGGAATATTCCGTAAAAAAAAAAAAAAAAATTGGGTACTTTTTTTGTCGATATTATACTGTACGCCTTTCCCTAATACGTTATAATGGGACTGGTATGGTAAAATTTACCATTTATTTATTTACTTATTTACTTATTATACTTGTTCGTTCGGAATCGTTCTTTTTTTCGTACGCTTAAAAATTATTTTAATTTAATTTTTTTTTTTTTCCAGTATCGCGTTTATCCGTCTAGAGCGATGCGCATAGTATGTTTTTATCGCGCGAGATCGTTTTGAGTGTAAGCGCACTTATACATCGTCGTGCCTAAAGTGCGGAAGTACAGTATATACTCACGCAACTCAAAAAATACGATTTTCGAGTTACTGTATCGCTTCTCGCTGCGAAAAAGGTCGTATGTCACTTTTCCATTATCTGTCCTCTAAACCTTCTAATCTCGTATCGTGTAACCTGTAACGCAACGACAAATGTCTTATTTCACTATTTCCATCTGCTAATCTAATCTCTTTGGACGAGTATTATAATAGAAGAGATGTTCTAGATTTTTCGTGGACGATCCTGAAAAAAATACGACCCGAATCTAGGTACGACCTTTTCCGTTGTGACAGACGATAATGTATACTATCGAAATATGCGGAATGTCCTTGATAATTTAATATAATTTACCCGAATCTGTTCATTCATTCGATATTAGTGCGCTGCGAATTCAAATGTTTTTTTATGGCCACTTAAAATGAACTATAGTTTTCGGCCTGAATATTGACACTTCCAAGCAGCAGTTTTATTCTGGCCCAACTAAAATGTTGTTACGCGATATTTTTCCGGCCAGAATAAAGCCATATCTCAAAACTAACAGTTTCGCACGCGGGAAAAATCATAATACAGTACATTACGAAGAATGGTGAAACGTTATAAGTCGATTTCACATCGTTTTCAAATATTTGTGCCGCTAACCTATTCTTTCTTGGGTGCGATATTTATAATACATTATAATATTATACAACGAATGGAAGTAAAAAGTTTGACTCGTAGGTATTTTGTATTATATTTTAGATAGGTAAAACTACATCACGTCGAAATCGTTTGTACAAAATGATTCCACGATTCCGGAGTAATATTTTAAGTTATGATAACACAGACGATTATCGTGATTTTCGCAGTGAAATACAGAAAATCGTCGCGCGGGAGGTGTATGATTGAATATTCGTTTATCGAGATCAACGTTTTTTTTTTTTAATAAATTCCCGTATACTGTTTCTTCAAAACTGCCTTACATATTTTATAGACAAGCAGAGCCGCGCCAAGAGGATTGAGAGAGGTTTTTCGACCTGGGGAACGCCAATAGAAATGTTTAAAGTTCCACAATTGATAATTTTTACAATAAACGTACCAGCGAACGCCCAGGTTTAACGTTTTCCTTTTTTTTTTTTTTTGTCTTCGCTCGAGGCTAAATTTTCCCGATACCGGGTGCCGATATTCCCAGGCACAACACAGAACAATGTATAGTATTATCAGGGCTCAGGACTTTACGCACTTAAAATCCACAAAAAAAGCGTTCAAAAACGTTAAAAAAGAAGCTCGAAAATGGACATAAAAATGTGATAGAATGTTTTCAAAAGTTTCCCCTCTGACTTATGAAATACAATTTTCAAACACTACAAAATGTATTAACACAAATTTTTAAATAAAAGTGTAAATATTATAAAAAAAAAAAAAAAAACATTTCGTTTTAATTGTTTTTGTAGTGTTATAAAATTATACAATTTATGATGGGTGAAGGTGGACATTTTAAACCCTTCCGAGCCCTCTGTCGTTTTTGCTCTTTACATATTTTTTTTCAGCGCTCTTTAAACGTTTTTAAACTCTTTTTCCGTAGGTTTTAAACGCATAAAGTCCCGAGTCCTGATTGTTATACAAGAGCATACACACATTACCGTCATTGATATATTTCCATTGATTTGCGTATTACACGTTTGACTTTTGATTGACGTTATGGAAATAAGAGTGTCGTGCGGAAAAATACAAATAGGTAGCCGCATCGGTAAAAAAAAAATAAATAAAAACATGAGTTCAACGCGCCGCTGAATCGTGTAATTGTGTAGAGACTTATCAATTAGTAATAATTACTCGGATAATTCGGATGATAATACACGTCAAGTGAAACAATAATAATCGCGCAAATCGCAATACGCGTGTAACGTATACGAACAAAAACATAACAAAATCGATATTACTTGAAAATAATAACGGGTTTTTTTTTTTTTTTTGTAAATCAGTTTCGACAAATCGTTTTTAATTGCGTTTACGGTGGGGTTTTTTTTTTTTTTTATAGAAAACAATTTGATAAGAAAAACAAAAATCTAATTTCGATTAATTTATTTGTTTATTAGAGGAGTTTTAAAAATGGCAACCTATTACGATTAAACGGTTGACTCATTTTAACGATTTTTATTGCTAAAAATCGCTCTCGATCAATACGGTATTTATAACGGCACATAATAATTTATATTGACTGCGCGCGTCTCGCGACTCTTACGCGTCATTTTATATTTTAAAAACTCAACAGAAAAAAAAAATATCTCTATTTTTCCGTGTCGTCAAGCGAACGTACTGAACGTGCTATTTCAATATGCGTCCTAGGATGAACAACAATGATTTCTGTCGTTTTAAGTTTGTGCCTCGTATACAACAGCCAGTTCGACTACATCGAAATATACGCAGGATAATACGTCCCTTTCAAACGAGATTCGAGTCGACTATTGGCGCGTATTATAATTACAACATTATTGTGTCCCCCGAATCGGGTGTCAATTATGTCGGGTCGCCGAACAGTTATTTGTATCGACGCGCGTAACGGATTAAGGTGCTGATTATTTTGTTTGGAATTTTTTAAATTTACGCGAAAAGAAAACCGGTCGAATTTCCAACATCAAAATGGCAAAACGGTCAAAACAGCGTGTACACATTGCTCACACTATGGCGAAACGTTTGAAATATGTCGACGTTGCGTTTTCACAGTTAAGGCCTTTATTTTCGCTTCGCCGTGAAATGTCCGCAGAAACATTGACTTTTTCGGAGGCTTTCGAAATAATCGGAGAAAACCCGGAAACGACACTGTGCACAGGTAAAACGGCGGATATTCACGGAGCGCCGCGGCGTTATCGATTTCGTAGTTTTTTTTTTTTTTTTTTTTTTTTTTTTTTTATTCAAAATGCCCTCGAATGAAAGTCGTTTTTCGATTTCCCGAGTAGTTTTCATAATAATTGTTATTGAGAAAACCGCGGAAATGACGACCAACGAAAAACGTACGCGTTTGCGGCGTACGATTTGGGCACTGTCAATTTGTGCGGCCCGTTGTGGTTTTTCTACCGAAAATGTCGCGCTGATAGAAAAAAACGAACGGTAGACGTTTTTCGTCGCACTCAAACGACATTTGGACGGATACCGCGACATTTATTAGGGTATTCCGACGTAATTTATGCGCGCGCGCGCGCATTCAATAATAATTTGCGTTACGCGACGGCGCGTTGTCAGACGCGGGCGTGACGAAGGCGAACGTTTCGGGGGAAAATCCGATTTCCATCTGCGACAGTAATATCGTTTGTTTGTTTGTTTGTTTGTTTAACGAGCTTTCGACAACCGAATTTCCGGGAATCGGCGCACGGTTCGCAGCTGCGTTTACCGTCTACCGGCGGTCACTGCGGGTTACCGCCGATTTCGGTAAACGAAACGCGTTCGCGCGGTACCGCGACCGAAACGGCGAACAATGCGCGCGGCAAACTTTTTCGCGTAAAACGCTTCGCCGAAACGCGCGCGTCTAAAATGGTCTCGACCCGCGTCGCGAGAGACCGATTTGTTGGTTGTTTTCTCTCTCTCTCTCTCTCTCTCTCTCTCTTTTCTATTATTATTGTTGTTGTTTTTCTTTAAACGTCGCGGAAAAGTCGAACGTCGCGTTCGCGCACGTCTACGATACCGTTGTACACGCTGTTGCTTACCTGCGTCGATGTCCTCGTCCGTGTTTTCGAGCCTGCCGCCTCTCGCGTCGCTGACGATGCTCTGGTCCGTTGGCGGCACGTCGACCTCTATGAACGAATTGTCGTCGTACTCGGACGTCCGGGACGACGACGCCTTGGTGGTGGACGACGCGGCCGCCAACGAGGACGAGCTCATCTGCCCGATGGACCGGAACGTGGACACGGACGCCGCGGTGTCCACGCCGACGCCGAACACCGTGCCGGTATACGGTATGGGCCTCTCGTCCAGGAAATTGGCCGGATTCAGCTGGAGCTCCTGTTCGCGCTGCTCGTCCTCTTGCCGGGCCCGTCGCTTGGCCGTCTGTTCCGCGCAGTTTTTGCGCGTGGCCGCGGTCTTCGTGCACTTCGGGCACGTGCAGTCCCGGTACTTGCAGTACCGCTTGTGCTTCTTCCACACCTTGCGCAGGTTGTGGTTCTTGCAGTTGGTGCACAACCGTTGCTTTTCCTTGATGGTCTGGGCGGCCACCACCGCGGCCACGGCCGTCGCGGACGTCACCTGCTGCTGCTGATGGTGATGGTGTTGGTGTTTGCCGGACGGCATTTCCGAGCGGTTGGAAAATGTCGGTACTACGCGCGGGCAGCACCGTCTGTCCGCGACACGGGGCAAAACGGTCCGGATCGGTTTCGGTCGCGCGCGACGTCTGTGCGCCTATCGCGACGACGTCGCCGGCATCACCGCGATCAGCGATCACTGGCTGTAAGCACGCCTACCGAAACAACCGCACGGACACGGCCGCCGCGGCCGTCACCGGCGCCGCCGCCGACACGATTATAAAAATAATGCTTCGGCGAAGCGGACGAAAAAAATAATAAAAACCCGGTCGCAAAACACGCACGCACTCGGACCACGGACTACCGCAATTGCCTATTCGTTCGCCGCGCGAACGTGTTCCGTCGGCAGCGGGCCACGTGATTTCCCGTTCGGCGGGTCCCCACTAGCGGCCGGCGGACCGCGGACGCTTGTGCTCCCGAACACTACGTACGACAGTACGCCCGGCGCCGTCTGTACGCCAACAGTTTGCGCGCGTTCGCCCGCCCGCTGTGCCCCGGCCGAACGGCGGACGCGGTGTCAATAATAACAGCACTAATAATAGCGGAATAATGTTATTTTAGAAGGCACGGCTCATGGTCGTCGGCGTCACGGCTGCGGTCGTTATAATAACAACATTAGGTATTATCGTGCGGTATCTCGACACACAAGACGCCGCGCGGGTTACACGCGGCCACCCTTGGACGGTAACGGCACGGAACGGCGGTTTAAAATTGCTCGACGATTGGCGTGAGAGCGGTCTCGCCGGCCGGATCGACGATGAATCGCGGACACGTGCGCGCGGAAAAATGTACGGAGAAAAAAAAAACAACCGTTTGCAATATTTCTTTCGTGTTGTTTTTTTTTTTTTTTTTTTTTTTTTTTTTTTTTTTTTTTTGTTTTTTTTTTTTCGTTTTTTTCCGCGTACGATATTCACGAGATTGACAATGTTAATTCTTTGTGTTTCCCAGTAAACGCAACACGGAGTAAAATAAATAATAACAGAAAAAAAAAAATAATAAATAAAAAAAATAAATAAATAAAAAATAATAATAATAATAATATTATTCGCGTATTTAGAACAGCGTGGTGCGCGTCGTCCGGCGAGCGGCAACGGTGTCCGGTGAGACTAGAACGGGTAACTTAATGCAACTGCAGTGCCATGCACACGGAAGGTGCAACAGGCTACGGCATCGCCAGTGTACACTAGCGCCGTAACACGTCACGGGCGGATCCCAAGCGCATAACGGCGGCCGGCGGCGGTGGTCCGCGACGGCCAATCGTCCCGCCGTTTTCGTCGGCGCGCTACAATATATCGTCGTCGTCGTCGTCGTCGTCGTCGTCGTCGTCGTCGTTGTTGTTGTTATACCGTTATCTCGTTGTCGATATTAGTTTTCGCCGTAACGGTTACCGCAGATTAGAGTAGTGCCGTTGTGATTATTATTGTTGCCGCATTGCGCGTTGTGCGGACCGCGGATTTCGCGAACGGCGGATTTGGTCGGGCCGCGTACGCGCAGCGGGCAAACAGACGGCAATAGCTGCGAGCGCGGAACGGTGACATTGCGCGCGGGCGGACGGCCCGCCGTTCATTTCTGCGTCTTCTTTTCGCGGCGACACCACTTCGAAAACGTTCCCGGTCGCGCCGCCGGCCGGCACCGTACGTCGCCGTCGCCGGCAGCCGCGCACCGCGGTTATCAAAACCGACGGCGACGTGACGGTCTTGAATTCTGTTTTCGTTCTGCAATCGCGTTTGACATTATTAATACGGGTCTCGTCGCAGCCGTGTCCGCGGCCGCGCGTATACGATTTCACAACGAACGCGTACGAAACCGTTCTCCGCGTTATTCGCGTCCGCTCTGGGTGTCCGTTTCCGAGTTCTCGCCGACCCGGGGACCACTGCAGGTCTGGTTCATATCGAATCGGTGCAACGCGATTTGCGCCCGTTTCGCCTTTTTACCCGCCAAAATGGTTTGCGCGAGACTGTGCTCCGTTTGATCACGGAAAAGTACGTCGCGTACGATCTTGTGCCGGTAAAAATATAATTGACGGTTTTCCTTCGCAATTTTACATGTTTAAGACCGCCGACGTAATTAAATTGTCGGCCTGGTTAAAAATCGTGTTTTGAAATAGTTCACACGGGTCCGATACGCGTACAATTGTTTCGTATAAACGGTCTAAACTATAAATTATGATAAATTCGTCATCAAATCTAACCTGCCTCAATGATATACTCGTATTATAATATTATTTACAAATAAAAACTTTTTTTTCACAATTTTTTCGCAAATATTCAAATGTTATTCCAAAAATATTTCTTTTATTTTCTAATTTTGGTTCCAGTGTGGATAATAAATTTCGATTTTTCGTCTTGCTCTTTTCGAAGCTTATGTTTATGATTTTAGATTCTGAAAGTAGAGTAGAATGTATTCATTTTACAAAGACGTTTGTACACAATGTAGAGCCTTTTCTGAAAGGAAATTTGACTTGGGAGGTCATTTTTCGATTTTCTCACGGGTTTTCTCAATATATTGAAAAAACCTAGAAAAACACGGAAAAATGTACGAGATGTAGGTATTAGTTAAAAAATATTACGGCCTTCTTTTTTCCCATAAACAACTTTTCTATCAGCAATTTGGCTCTGATTTACAATGATAGCACTTTTTCTGAAAGAAAATTTGACTGGGAAAGTACTTAAAGGGGTCATTTTTCGATTTTTTTCAAGAGTTTTTTTCCTGCAAACATGAAAAACCGAGAAAAAACTCGGGAAACCAAAAAAGACGGAAAAATCGGTACAATATTAAACAAATATTATTAAAGAAAATATATAACGCCTATTTAGTTATTTTACCATAATATGGCATATTTACTCGTATTGTTGACAGAGCATCACTGTCCACTGAACTCAAAAATGTAATCGATTGTAACTCCGAACCTAATTTGTCTACCGTGATATTATTACCGAATCTCGTTATTTACATCACGCAGTTGACAGTTATCGGCTGCTAACTGTCATCCGACAGAGTGAAAAAAAGAAAAAAGGTAACAAAAGGAATACAGCATATAACAAGGCAGTACATTTACACGAGTTATCTATATTCGTCACGAATAGCGCTTTCCAGTATACGATATTGATGATAAGAAAACGAAGATAGCCGACCAACAATCGAATAAACCATTAACCTTATGAATCAATTTTTTTTAAATATACTATGCAATTTAAATTTGATAATAATTATACGAAGGAAGACCTTCGAAGATGATTGAGGCAGAAATTCGGAGGAAATTTCAATGGACAGGGAGAAGTGGAGTGACGTGGTTTTGACGGACCTTGATGGTCTTTAAAACGCCTAAGACGAAGAAGAAAAAGAAGAACAATAATTATACATTTGTATTATATGTTTACTGTAAAATGTAATAATTCGATTTCTGTGATATGTTTAAACAGCTGTTGTAATGTAAATAATGTATACATATATCAGTATAATTATGTGAAATTTTATTTTATTTACTTATACGATTATACGGTATTTTGTGTAACCATTGTGTCTTGGGACGCAATCGGGATGCTTATAATTGGGATAAAATAGAACTACCTGAACTCGGGCCACAATCGGGCAAACCCGGACAAAAACGTTTGATCAGAACATTCGATCGGGACACCGGGGGACGCTTGATTCGGTTGTAACTCGTTTGAATAAACCTAACCATAATTTTGCCTGCGAATGTAGAACACGTTTAATCGCATAGACACATAACTCGTTTGGGTACACAAATATAACACGTCTGGGTATATCAAATATATATAAAAGTACTAAAGAGCCGACTCGGAAATTCATGCCGAACACTATGCGAGTACAGGTACCTGTATACGTATTACCACAGTAATTGTATTTATGATTTATGAACTCATAGGTACATATACATGTACGCTATATCACCTAAATTTCACAAAGATGCCCTGAAAGTACTTTAATAAATTCCTTCCTCCGATGGATTTACTTCATTGAATAACATTTTTCAACACTATAAAAGTAACAACACAATACAATACAAACAATACAAACAATTTTATTCACATAAAATTGTACGTGTTTAAAAAAAATTACTTTGTGTTAAACAGTGTTAGGAAATATTGATTAATAGTTAGAGTTGTTAGAGGAAAAACTTTTAAACATTTCTATCGTTTTTGTGAATTTAAATATTTTTTAAGCGCTCTTTTTATAGCTTTTATGACATTTTTAAGCGCGTTTGGTTCCCGAGCCCCGGTTATAACAGATTTTAAAAACGATAAACTGTCTTTATAAGATTAGCTATGATAAACTAGTCTTCATCTGTGATAAAGTAAGTATTTTAAAATTTCATTGTTCAGTTGAATATGGGACATATGGAATCCCTACATCACTAATCATTAGCCAGCGGTTTAGTTCGTAGTAATTGATCAGACAAAGTTTTTAGTGCACAATCAAAAACCATCGATGTTATATTATAATATGTTTTAATTTCAATATTTGAAAATGTTTTTAATGTGAGAATTTAAAATCGGTATAAATTTACTAAAATTTTAGGGTCTCAACCATATTGGCGAGGGTAGGGGAGCTTAAGCCCGTCATTTCCCCTTTGTTTGCGACCTTACCTACATTTTAAAACAGTATTATATAATTAGGATGTTTTTATTTGATACATGTTGTATAGGTATTGGTAGGTTATCTGTAATTAATTATAATACCTTTGGTTGTTAAAAAAAATTATCTTAATAAAATACTATAATATTAAAGAATATGTTTGAACCCTCCTTTGGATACAGGCAATGTACACGCAAGAGTTCGGATTTGTATTTAAAATCGTGTGTGTTTTTTTTTTTGTTATAATATGCACTACACATATATTACATATATAGAGTAGCTAGGTACCCACCAAATAAAAATTACGTAAAAATATACAAATATTTTTAACTGAATCACATTAAAAAATCAAAATTTCAAATAATTAAAGAATTACTTTCGTAAATTGTCCAGTTCCTTTTGCGTATTTTTCGGTTTTGCTCAATTATTAAAAAAACCAAGAATAAAATTAAAAATCGACTTTTTTCGGTTATCAACTATACAAAAATTCCAACAAAAAAGATATCTTAATGTTTTTGTATTGGAGCGATATTTCTGATAAAAAACGGAAAGTGTAAAAATTTCAAATAATGACTGTAAGTAACGCGGTAAATTTGTCAGTTTTCATTTTACGTTTTTTTTTTACCGATTTTTCCTAATTATTACAAATTCTATCACGAAAAAAAAAACGGTTTATATATTCACGGACTAGGTCGTAAATTCAACAAAACAGGTATCTTGTCGTTTTTCTACCGGAGCGATATTTACGGTGGAAAACCCCTTGGAAAATCAAAAATTGACCTACCCAATGCACCATCTAGACAAAACTTCCTTTCAGCAATGGTACCGTGCTCGGCGCATCGAAGCGCGGTTTCTTTTCGAAAAGTTATTTACAAACAAATTGAAACACATGAAAAGCACGCACCGTATTAAAACCGATAGGACCCCCGTTACGCCACGAATCTAAAATATCTAATGTTGTTGTGCAACCGTCAGACGAACACGCGTCTCCGAAATCGATTTAAATATTTTTGCGAATTAACGGTCGTTTAGCGTTTTAACGAAACGTAATATTGTCACTGCGGCGGTGGGCGAAAACAAACCCGACGCGCGTTTAGTACCGAACAAATGCGCGTTGCACAGCCATCGCGGATACCAGCGATACGACGGCGGTGTCCAGAAGAAAACTGTCATCAATCGTGTAACGACAACTGTGT